TTGCCCTTGCCCTTGGTTTCTTCCAGGCGGGAAATACTGATGCCGCTACCCAGAATCTCCGGGGTGAGCTCCCAGCGGGCTTCAATGTGGCCAGGTTTGGGTTCCGCGTTCTCAGCTCCCACGATACGGCACACAATCTTCTGTATCTCGTTTGTGAGTGTCAAGTCGCCCAAGCGCCAGTATACCAGATGCTTGTCCTTCAGATGCGTTCCTGTCGGCTTTGTCTGGGCGCCTGAAGCCTTGGCACCCTCGTACGTGGCGACGAATACGACGTTTTGTAGTGTAACAGGAGCTGTAAGGTTACTTGCGGGGTTCAGGGAGTACTGCAAGAGAAGTCCGAGCTTGTCGCCCTGCGGCTTCCAAGCCGGGCGGATCAGCAGAGGAACTTGCGCCGCTAAGCCAGAGCCGTCGGCATCGCCAGCGTGTACTCTATACGTAAACGCTGTGGATGTCTTGTTGAGATGCGACACGTCCAAGTTGAATTCGTCAGACTTTCCGAGGCTGTTCTGAACAAAGATACGGTTCGGTCCAATAACTTCAAGACTGGGGAAATTGTTGATCCTGATCGTCTCATGTTCTGTTCAGAGTTAGCACTTTGAAGTCTGCAGAATGAAAGATTGACTCACCTTGCGGAGTATCACCAGTTGCGTGGTAGGCGAACGCGATTTCACCGTGAACCTTGGCGCTTTTGACGGTTCCATCCTCAAAGGTTGCGGATACCGTTTCAATGACGGAGGCATTGAGTCCAGGCTGGTGCATTTCGGGATGCTTCAGGTGCGCGAGGCTCACGAGGGAGTTTGCGGAGCGGATCGACTGCGTGTCTGACGTTGCGGCAATGCTTGCCTCGGATGTGAGGGCAGCGACGGTCGTGGGCTTGGACGACTGGCTCGGCAATGATGGCGATGTTGGGAATGGGTTTTCGTTGGTGAGCTCGGGTTCAGGCAGGCTAGGGGGCGGGACGTAGATGGTATTTCTCACGTCTCTACGTCCTCGAACAGTTCCCAGCTTGCGTGACGGAGCAGCCATCTGGGTCAGCGTGTTTGCGACATTCGACATGGCAGCTTGCTTCGCATCGGCATCCTCCTCGGCGATGGGCGAGCTCGCAATGTTAAGCTTGAACATTTGCTCATTTTCCTCGGCAGCCTCGCGCTGAGCCTGGGAAATTGGATCATTATCGGGTGGCCGGATCGTGAAGCCTTCGTCGTCCTTGGCTTGGGAATCCTTGCCCTGTGACGGGGGAGGACCGGGTGGAGGAGCAACATCCAAAGCATCGGTGTCGTGATTTCCGTTGACGGGACCAGCAGAAGAACCCAACCGAGCACTATCCGATTGGAAGTTGCTGAAGCCGTTGGTGCCTTCATGGAGCGGCCCGTCTGTTCCGGAGGACTGAGGTGGTCTGGGAGAGTCGGGTGTTTCGGGAAGAGCGGAGAGGCGGTTGTTCGTCTCGTTCAGGTTATTCGACGATGCTCGGGGAGAAAGGCCGGGGCGAACGTGAGTGCTACTATGGCTGCTGCTAAGGCCTCGGCCGAACGAAGGGACACCGCCCTTGCCGGGAGAAATCTGACCGAATCCGCCGTGGACGCTCTGCCGGCGGCGGCCGAGCATCGTGCCGATTCGGCTTCGCAGCTTCGACTCTGCGCTCCATATTAGTCTCCCAGTCTCTAGATAGCATTACATAGGGCAACATACCGCTCTTTCCTTCGCCCAGACCGGAGTGTTCGCTTGCGTCATCGTCGTGGTGGCCGAGACTGCTGGGCGGCGGTGGAGGTGGTGCCAGAGTCTGGCTCGTGGGGGCATTAGAGGATTGTCTAGACGCCGTGGCCCTCTTCTCCAACCTCGGTCTGCCAGACAGAATCCTTTCCTTGAAGCTCGCGATTTCTTGCTCGGTGCTGATCTCCAGCATGGAAGCCAAGGTGTCAGCAGCGCGGCTCTGGTTTCGTTGCGCCTGGTCGCTTTCGTGGGTCTCGTATTGCGTCAGCAGGTCGCGCAGCTGGTTGACGCGTTGCTCGTCGAGGGCTTGGAGGGTCTCGAAGATGAAGGGAGCCTGCGAATCCCACTGCTGGGTGGTAGACTCCAGTCTCGCCGTGGCATCCGCCATCTTCTGGGCGTTCGTCTTGGGGCCCTTTCGAGCCAAGGCTTCAGTCTTCTTCTGGGCATCTTCTAGGTCTCGGGCCATGGAGGTCAAGTTGGCGGTAATAGTCTGCATGTTCTGCATCTCCTTGCGGGACGAGAAGTTACGCAGGGGACCCTCGACATCTTTTTCGAGCTGGCTCGCGAAAACGTGGTGGGAGTGGGCAGTTGAGTCGACGGATTGGAGGATTTTGTCCCAAGGACCGGAAAAGACGCTACTCAGCTAATCAGTATACGGTCCTACTGCTGAGAGCCGAATGCAATGGTCGGGCAACTTACCCAAGCTCAGACGAGCTGTTGGGAACCTTGAAGGCGAGCAATTTTTTGAGGCTTTGGACGTATTGATCTTCGACTCGGCGGCGTTCCTGAGTAGGGTTATAGGTCAGCATGGAATTGTCCTGTGCTGTCGCATTCTGTTCATCGTGGGTGGTGCCTTACCTGCAACCAGTCTGCGATCTCGGTGTTGATCTTGTTTATTCTCTTCACACGATCGGTAAGGACGTTCACGGCCTGCATGGGCTGGAGGTGCTCCTAAACAAAGGGGAATGACAGTCAGCAAAACAAGTCGCAAACAATGCGCTCCTGCCATTGCAATGGAAGTACACCAGTCGCAGTGAGGTGGATTGTGGAAAGCCAGCCCGACCTCGACTTCTGCCCGGTAGGAGGGCCTTTCCAACCACTGGGGGAAACAGTGACGGATTGACGGGAATGAATATGGGGGGGGGGGGGGGGACATTACCAGCATGGCCGGGTACTCGGCCCTCGCGAGATCATCCATTGTGTCTAATTAGTGCGGCGCGCGCAAAGTCATGTACGATGAATGCAAGCAACGAGAGAAATGGCGCGCATAGCGATGCTGTCTATGATGCGGGAAAAGGTGTGGGCGAAGTGAGGAACATTCGCATCGTGGGAAAGTCGTGAGGTGTGAGGAAGGTGGGTTGTCCTACGAGACGGCGGCGGCGGGAATTGGGTGGATGGTTGGAATGGTCCAGTTGGATGGTGGATGGATGGAACAATAAGGCAGGCCAGGAAGGAATGGAAGGCGCCGCCGCCGCTGCTGCTGCTGCCGAACAAGACGAAGCCCGGTCAGGCAGTCACCAGGTGCAGCAGGTGCAGCAGGTGCAGACTGTGGTCGCCAGTGAGGTGTGGGAGAGTGGGCCCTTGGGACTGGAAAGCCGGGAAGAACTCCTGGTACCTATCCATAATAGAAGTCACTTTACATACTCATCGCAGCTAAGAGTGACTTGCTTCCCTCTTTTTTTATTTAGTCTTGGGCTGATGATGAAGTGTGGAGAGGACCGGACCGGGGGGGCATGGGCTGGGCTGGACTTGGGATTTTCTTGGTACTTTCACAGGTCGGACTTGGACAGCCCGATTCATACCATGTACCTTGGTATGAACCTGGAATACTTGCATGTACAGCAACATGAGCATTTGAGGTCGAGGTTTACGGCTCGCCTCGATCAACATCGAGACGCGTCAACTGCATACAAACGCAACGTGGTAAGTCCCGTCTATTCATCTAATGCTGCCTTCTTGCTTTAGCTTGATCAATGCTGCTGCGTGGCCTCGACGCCTCCTTGGTCTCCCACTGGCACCTGGGTGTCAATGTCATCCAACCTCATCCTTGAGATGTCTCACGTACCTTTTTTTCTTCTCGAATGCGTCGTCAATTGGCCCGAGTGCTGCCTCGTCCTGACCAAAGGTTCAGCGCATGTTCCACTGGCGCCAGATTTGAATTTATTGGATTCGGATGGGACAGTTGGCCCGGGAGCTGCGGACAAGGACGCACCATCCATTAAAATTCACAGTCATCCACAAGATCATGAGGTGCCTATACTATTCATCACTGGGTAATAGCAATCCGCTTCTCCTTCTCTTCTTCCTCTTCCTCATGCTGGTCATCCCGCTATGAGTTCTCAGTGGCAATGAGCCGCTTATAACGAATCTGTCTCCTTTGCACAGCTCAATCATAGAGAGACAACATACATCTCAACCCCAGTTCCACACTGACCAACCACCCTCATCTCTCTGTGCTTTGGGTCGGACAGGGCTCCTGTAATCGAAACAGGCTAGCTCGGAGGGGACTCCTGCAAATACGTCACGCACCTTACAGACCAAGTTAGCACAATCCTCAGCTCAAGTTGGCAACCGAGGAAGAACTCAACTGAGCCTTCCAGCAAAAGCCAGCTTCGAGATGTCCTCATCTGAAGCTGACAAGGAGCACAGCAGGCAAGACATACATGATCACGAAAAAGTACAGAGGCACCGCTCGTCCCCCCGATGCTGGAAACAACGGCGGCGGCGGGCTGCATAACCCAGACCACATTCCGTCAACCTTAAGCAGCTTCCCTGCCTTCGTTCTGCCTTAGTCACGTTGATCCTGTTTTAAGCATCCCGCATCCGCCTGGCAAGGTTCAGAGGAACGGTGCCTGTATGAGATGACGGGAAGTGCCCTGACGTGTCGCGCCCGCGTAAAGTCTCTGATCGAAATTCAATCTCAGCCCACCTCACGGAGACCAAGCCGGCGCAAGAAAGTAAAGGGGAAAGAGAAAAAAAAAAACCATGACTGAGCCGCCCCATCCTTGCAGGTTGTCAGCTGCGCATGAAGTTTTATTTTGGCCCTTAATTCAATCGCAAGGATCCTGATCTTCAAGCCAGAACACCACCCACAATGTATAAGTATTGAAGAAAAAAGAAGGCCCTTCCTGGCACGACTTGCCGGCAGCCCTCCATGGACTGCACGGAGTGAGACCCAAGAGTGGTGCGCATTAGCGCAGTAAAAGACCGTGATAATCCTTACGCCTCGTGAGGCTAAGAGGAAAGCTAAGATTGAGTCGAAGAAGTAATTAAAGACATATTTTGACGCCATGGGACGCCCCTCGTCAGGTACCCGGAATTGCAATGCCCAACCACGCATTATGTAAGCTTATTTCTCTTCCTGTTCATTCTTTCCACTCGAAAAGGAGACAGCAAGTCCGCACTGTGCGAACGCTGTTTCCCGCCGAGATCCACACCGGATGGTCCGGCCCGGACAGTCCTTTCACCGCCTCCGACGTTTCTCACACGGTACGTACCCAGTTCTACGGCTCCCGCTTTCCTAGCTGCATCACAGGGATCATCAACGGAAGGTGCAACGACGCCTCAACCCTTCCTGTCTGGTGCTCACTAAGAACGGCCAGTTGAAAGCAACGCCAGTGCACCACCGTCAAAGTCTCGTCATCCGTGCTCGCCCACCTCACGCCAACTTCCGTCCTCGACAGCCGCCCGGTTCTCATGGCAGACAGCGACTGGAGGACGCAATTATTGGCGTCAGATCGATATGAAAACATTCAGAGGATGTAAGTCATAAATCTTCAATGTGCATTCAAGCCATACTCACACCAATCTCTATGTAGAAAGTCTGTCTTGGAGACAGCTAGTCCGGATGCCAAAGACACGTCACAGTCGGACGCATTTTCTGTAGAAAATCAGGCTTATAAAGACTCGTCGTCCAGGGTGAGTTTTCCACCCTATTTCTCACCTTTTGCCCAAGTTCGACGCTCACATGTCAAGGTCAGGCTCAATATGACGAAATCTGCCAGCTAGTCGGCTCAGCCAATTTGTCTCGCCCGGAAGCCCCAGCACCTACTGATGACCAACCTGAAGATGCTGGCGTCAACATTGGTTCTTACAAAAATTGTGTTTCTTTTGCAAGTGGCTTAACGTCAGAAGTCTACCGATGCAAAGATCGAGCGCTCAAGGTCATTGTGGAAACACACAATATTGAGCCTCACAATCCGCAACGCGAGGCCAGGATTCTAGCGACCTTGAAACGACCATGCATTCCACTTTTAGAAATATTCAGGGACCAAGAACAAAGATTTGTTCTAGTATTTCCTTACAAGCCCATGACACTTGCCGATGTCATTGACAAAGGAACCATTCCGCTGCCCCAGATTAGACGTCTCTTCAAAGACATCTTCACTGCACTCGCGAATATCCATGGCCAAGGCATCATACACCGAGACGTCAAGCCCGAGGCCATCCTGCTCGACGGCCCGGAAGGGCCAGCATATCTTTCTGATTTTGGAACAGCCTGGCACCCGACCATGTCGATTGTCTCAGAGCCGGCCAAATCCAAGATCCTGGATATCGGGACCGGCCCCTACCGAGCGCCTGAAGCCCTCTTTGGTGATAAAGCCTACGGTCCTTCTGTCGACGTGTGGGCGGCTGGGGCCATGCTGGCCGAGTGCTGTCGCAGTCCCCCAAAGTCCCTGTTCAATTCAAGACCCGCCCATGAGGACGGCAACCAGCTGGGTTTGATTCTGAGCATCTTCAAAACTTTGGGCACGCCGACACGCGAGACTTGGCCCGAGGCTGCGAGCTTCAAGACGCCACCCTTTGAGATGTACCGCATGTTTGATGGCCAACCGTGGACAGAGATTCTTCCAGAGGTCAATCCCCATGCTCGAGAGCTGATCTCGAGCTTGGTGCGCTTTGACTCTAAGAGGGCTACAGCGGAGCAAGTGAGTTGCGGTGATCTTTTTCACCACAAGCAATTATCTTTACTGACTATACAATAGGCTCTACAGCACAAGTTCATGATAGGCACTGAGGAAAGTCAAACATAGGAGGCCACCCGGTCTTCGAGGACAACGTGACAAAGAGCAGGTGTATTTGAAGCTGGGCCATCCTTAGTCCTTGGAAGGTCGAAGGAAAGGGGTCAACATTGTGCTGCAGGTTTTCAAAGTAGTTTCTTTGTGTTCACGGTCTCCATTGAGTCCCATGAGCCTTGGAAAACCTTCAGAACGCTGCGAAGAGATCTCGGTATCGAAGAACAAAGGCCCCGGGATCTCGCACCAGGTATTAATGTCCGCGGTCCTGCGCGTCATCGCCACCCAACCACGTCAAACTCAACTTTTCCCATCTCGCAAGATCAAGTCAGTTCAGACACTACTAGCCTCATCCGCGCTTCAGAAGTCGAAGAAAGCTGTCAAACCATGGCCCCTCCTGGCGAAAAAAGATCAAAAGATCGCGCGCCCTCTGGCCCGAAGAAAGTGAAAAACCGTGACGGCCCGAACATTGGCACTCAGAACGCACCGGACACGTCGGTCCTCGGGGACCGACCCGAAGGATCACGACGACAAGAGGGCTCAAAAAAGAAGAATACCAACGCCATCGCAGATATGCCAAGAAGGTTAGCAGGAGGCAAAAAACCCCACCATTGTCCATCAGGAGAGCACAAGAGCGACAAGGCTTGTAGAAAAGGCCGTTGTCTTATAAAGTGTTCTGAATGCGCCTCCAATCGCTCTACGTTCGGAGGATCGAAATGTTGGGTTTGTAAGAAAGCCGAGATCCGTCTGGCACAGATAGCAGCGAGGCAGGCGGGTGGCGTCGCCAACAAGGCGTTGCTTCCTCGGCAACGGCCTACGCGCGTCACCAAAAGGGGGACATGGCTCCGTATGGGATCCCTCAGGCGTCATTACCAGGTCGCGTGGGCCAATCGGCTCCGGAGGGTCATCTCGGCGAAGAGTCTCGAGGATGTTCCCGAAACCACCTACGTCGACACGGCTATGGACGTCTGCTCTACCCCCAGCGTTGCTGAATTCGACACTTATATGGGCGATGTCGATGACGAGTCCGATGACGAGCCCGGCCTTTCACCAGCTTAGATAGCAATGAGCAATTGAGGTTCAACCCAGAAAACGCGGGCCCTGTGAGTAAAGAGGAGCAACGCAATAAATGTGTCCGGGATGCCGAGGAGATTCTAAAGCTTGTTCGTGAAGGTCTCCATAGGCTGATTTGAATGCGTGGAGGGTTCTCTGGTTGGTCTCAGGATGTTACGCGGGTTCACGGCTTGATAGAAGTGTTGCAATTTGAACGTTTCTGCTTTTGATCATCTGTTTACTGCCACCCATCTGGCATTTTTGCATGCTCTATTCCACACGAATGTGACTTTTTACAAGAAACCATACTTTCATCTTTCTCATCTCACGTTTCTTCTTTTCCCCTTTCCCCTTGTAATTCAACATGGTTCTCTCAACCGCATCACCCCATAAGAGACCTGGCTACCTTACACCACATAATCCGACTGCCCCCTCTTCGCCCTGGAATCATGGCCCAGGTAATCAATGGGGTTACGACACAGAGGGCACGTATTCTGATTACTGCTCTGGAACCACTTGTACAGACAGGTGCGGTGGAAGAGGTTCTTGCACGTCGAGCACCGCTTGTCGGGCATGCGCTTGTCGGAGGAGATGATGGAGTAGCAGATGGCGCACTCGGACTGGCCCTTCAGCGCGCCGACAATGTTTCTCCGGAAAGCGGATAGGCCGTCGATGATGCTCCCGTTGGAGAAGGTAATCACCCCTTGCGTCGTGAGGAGCCAGCTCTGCCACTTGCGCTCGTTGACCGCGACGCGGTTGATGCCGACGACGGAGACGCCTTCGATGGGGTAGCTCGCGGGCACCTTGACGGCGATGGAGGCCATGCTCTCGTCGATTTCGACGCCAGCCGTGATTTCTCTCGACGCCTTGCTGACCTTGACGACGAGCTCTTTTTCGTCGTCGTCGGCGGGCGGGTCTTGGGCGGCGGCCCAGGCGGCTACCTCGTCGAGCGCGTCCGAGACGATGATGGGGGAGAAGTAGCGCGTCATCCAGCCCTCGACGGCGATGCGCGTCTGCTTGGAGCGGCAGTCGAGGTACCACGTCTTGAAGAGGCCGGGCGTGTATTTGAGGGTGAGGTAGTAGAGGTGTACGAGCAGCCAGTGGAGGTTGCGCTCGTCGGGCTCGGCGTCGGCGAGGGAGACGCTGTACGAGGTGAGGTGCTGCGTCGTCAGGCCCTCGCGCTCGAGGTTCAGCGGGTGCGCGGCCGAGTGGCCCAGCACGTCGAACATGAAGTCCATGAGCGGGGCGATGTAGTTCTCCGTCTTGAGGTGCTCCGTGTAGTCCTGGCGGACCTTGAGGGAGGCGGTGCTGAAGGCGTCGAAGATGAGGTGCCACGAGAGCAGGTAGGAGCGGATGGCGAGAGGGAACTGCGCGAGGATCTCGTCTGGGTAGCGCTCCAGCGTGGGCGCGTCGAGGAGGAGGGAGAGGAGCTCGTCGGGGAGGCGGGCGTCGGTCTTGTCGAGGAGGACGTTGACGGAGAGTTCTTCCTGGCGCGCGGGAAGGGCGTAGTGGAGGAGGTTGAATGCCGCCGTCTGGATCGAGCGAGAGTCCGCAGCGATGAGGCCGTAGAGGTCCGAGAGGTCGTTGATGTGCTTCAGCGGGATCTTGTTGACTTGTCTGCAGATGATGGCGTCGACGATCTCGAGGGGCTGTGTGGTCTTTTCGCGGTCGAGCTTGAGGAGCTCGATGAGGGAGAGGGACTTCGTTTCGGCGAACTCCTTGATGGCGTCCACGAGGTCGTCGTTTGGCTCCGATAGCGTCTCCAGGGTGGTCATGAGCTTCAGTGATGCATGGATATACGGCAGCGAGTCGTCGAGACGGTCATCCGAGGCCCTTGCCCACAGCGCAGTGGAGAACTCAATCGTCTTGTCCCAGTACGAGCCGTATACGTCCTTCATGCATGGAAGTAGCCTCTGTAGGGATCTGCAGATTTCGGCTGACAGCGCGGGTGTGAGGCTGGGGATGTCGTCCATCCAAGACGTGATCTGGCGTACGGCAAAGACGATGCGGTTGTTAGCAACGGGGACCCCGCCAACCTCGTACACTTGCAAGCATGCGTTGAGGAGGACCAGGATAAGCAGCGTCTTTTCGACCTTTTCAGGCTCAACACTAGCGCCCGCAATGTCGCTTACAAGACGGTTGCACAGATTGTTGATGGCTTTTGATGACTCCAGACTCTCACCGAAGCCGGCGAGCACAGCCGTCGCCGCCAGGATCGTTGGTGGTGTGGCCTTGAGTGTGGCCAGCTGGTTGATCTTCTCGTCTCCGGCAGCAGGGAAACCGTGCTTCTCGGCAAGGTTCTGGAAGAGGTCGCTCAATGCTCTAGAGCTGTAGACGCCCAACGGGGTGAGTTCCTTGGTCTCCTGCGTCATGATGGCGATGAGACCGTTGACCAGCTTTGTGGAGCCAGTCTCCGAGCCGTCCCTCCATCCCTTGGCTTCGTCGACAATGGCATGGATGGTCACACGGGTGGAAGAGACGAATGACTCGGCAGAAGCAAGCGCGTCTCCCATCTCGAGGTTCAGGAAGAGCTTGTTCTCGTCCATGAGTGTAATCTGGTCCGATACCATCTGAACCGCGACACAAAGGAGGTAGAGCAGCTCAACCTGGAAGCTGTCAGGCAGACTGGAGACCGAAATATCCGATGACAAGAGCTTAGAGGTGTAGGATGCCATTCTAGCCGGGATAGAGAGGCCGTCTCGGTCTCTGCGCACACGAAGGCGCTGGTCAGACTCGGCAGGTTGAACGAGGAAATGAGCGCCGGCCAGACCGCTGGTGATTGACAAAGACGGGTTGAGCTTAACCTGGAAGAACTTTGAGAGCTGCTGCATCCAGATGTTCGTGCTCGGGAACAAATCCTCGATGGCGATAGACCCAGCTTGGGACGCCTGGAGGGCTTGTTGTACCAGTGTTTCGACACCAAGTGACTGTGGTCCAGCGTCTTCGAGGTTTCTCTGGATAATAGTGACGACTGGCGATACCCCATCCGCGGGCTGTTCCAGTAGTGCTCTCAGCGAGGCCGCACGGGTAGATATTGCCCTGTCGTTTAGTTCGGCAAGTCCCAGCAGCTCAGTCACGACCGCCATGTGCGTTGACTCGTCTTGCGACAAGAGTCCAGGCTTGTTATTCGCAATGATTTCCAAGGAGCGAAGGGTCTGGCCAGAGTGCTGCTTGTCTTGCGACAAGGCCGACACGCTGTTGTCTAGCAATTGCTTGGCGGTTGAGTCGGCGATGGCATTGTTGGCAAAGGCAGTCTCGAACAGACTCCAGGCATCCAATTCTCCGCGGGCTGTGCCAGAGCACTTGAACTCGATGAATTTCTGGAGCTGCTCGTGTGATTTAGAGAGCTCTGACGCCTTTTGGTTTGCAATGAGACGCTCGATGCCCCTAATGGCCTGCGAGTCACCAGACAAGCTCAACAAAGCCTCGATCCAGGTCTTCCAGATACCGGCGTAAGTTGCATTTTGTCCCTCGAGAGCGCCCAGGGCATTGACGCAGTTCAGCAGATCGGGACCAGACCGTGACAGAATCAAGACGTCCATGCGATCTCGGCCTTGTGTTGACAGGAATTGCTCCAGAGCTTGAGCAGCTTCCGCATCTCTCCACACGCGCGGAGCGTTCTTGCTCACGCTGTAGAGCACTGCAGCTGCTCCATAAGGCTTGAGATTTCTTGTCGCCAGGAGGTCCACGCTGCATTTAATGATGGCCCTTGAAGGCTCGATGAAGAGAGTGTCTGTTGGTTTTGCCTTTTGAACTTGGCCAACGAGGGTGAACCAGCGGGATCCCTCGGAAGCAACAGCCTCTTGAGACTTTTCATAGTCCTTTGAAACCTCTGGGAGTGAGTTGGATATTCTACCACAGAAAGCCGACGAGAGCAGTCCCAGCTTGTCGGTTGTTGCCGCCCTAAGTTCCTCGGATGATGAGCCGACAGAGACCTCGTACACTTCGGCTAGCACAGGAAGTCGTCCGTTTCCAGCAATCTCCCATGACGAGTTTTCGGGTGTGGGTAAGAGGAAGTGCTCAATTAGAGGGAACAGATGTTCTTGAACAAGTGTTGCCCTCTCATTGTCGGAAGGAAAGTTTTTCAATAGATGCTTGGTAGTTCTGGCATAGCAGGTCCACGCCGCGGTAGCGTTCATCCGCGGTTCCTCTCTGCTTGTAATTCCCGTCCTCATTGACTTGAGCGCGTCAGCTGAGGCTTCGACCGTGAAGAGTTCAGTTGGGATGGCCTTGATCAGGTGCTCGAGGTGCTCCCAGTACTTGGCGGAGCTGCTCTGGGAACCCTTCTCCAAGAATCCATTCAGTCTGGTGATCGGGGTCTTCTTCTCGCTTGAGCTCGCCCAGATCTCGGGGAACTTGGTCGTCAACTTTGTGAGAACTCTGACATACTCGACAGCCGATCCCACTTGACTGCTCTTGAGCCCCTCGGCGACGAAAGTCTTCTTCAGGCGAGAAATTTGTGAGGATACGGGGTCGAATCTCTTGTCGAGGCAGGCCCACAAGAGCTGGCACGCCGTCTTCTTAACCGAGCTATCTCCCGTGACCACACTTTTCCAGACCTTCTCTTCGGCGAAGAAGGTGTCGTATGCCTCCTCTTCCTTTTGAATGTCGGTCGACTCGAGCTTTTGCAAGAGACCAAGTACAAGAGAGAGACTTGCCCCTATGACCCGGAGGTATTTGGCCTCGGCATCGTCGGCCGTCGTGGATCGTTCGTCGCTCAGGGTGTCCTTGGTCTCTTGGATAGCGTCGGTCGCATATGTCAAGATCTGTGACTGGCACTTGTTCCAGAACAGCGCGACCTTTTCTGGGCTGCTGAGGAACGAGGAGAGACCATCGTTTGCTGCCCTCGACACAACTCTATCCTTGTCGTATAAGCCAGCGAGCCAGGTGCCGACAATCTTGGGGACGCGCTTTTCCATGCGCTTCCGTGCCGACTTCATCAACTCGAACTGTAGGGTGTGGGAGAGTTCGCGGACGCGGCGGGAGTTGTCTATCGAGATGCGAGG